AACGGGTGAACCATTCTCTGAACACCAGAATTGGAATTTGAAAGGCTCACCAAATCGTAGTGGGATAATTCCTAACGTTTCATTTAACGCGTTCAGAAATCTAGACTTTGCTGTCCTTGATACCCAATTATCGCAAAGTACGTGCCTGGTTCTTCGAGTTTATAGTGGATGATGCAGCCTTTCTGAGCTCCTTTCGTTGACATATCTTTCGTTGCTTGCATAAATAAAAGTAGAGGAAATAAGGTAATAAAAATTTACTCAAGTCTTGTCTTCAAACGACTACAACATTAGCGATTACACTACTACATGAAAGAGTCAAAGTATCCACACTGCGCCCGTCGGGTAAGCAGAACTTCATAAAAATGTCCCACAATGACAGAGAAAGAAAAGAGAGGGACACAAATATTGAGTGTACAATCTTACGCAAATTAGAGAATTAAGTCGAGAAGGAGGATGATTCATATATATATAAAGAAGTAGACTTCTTCTCCTTCTGGGTGTATAGTATAGAATCTGAGAGATTTGTTAACTCACAGCTACAGAAAGCTCTCCGTCACGAGGAAGGTCCGCTCCGCGAGTCCGTCAAATTTAGGTCACCCCGCCTACCTCGCGCGTGAAGCAGCCCATTGCGAACTCAAGTGGCTTTACCTCAGTGGGGCGGTACCGCTGCGGCGTGACCTTTAAATACTTCGAGGGACAAAGCGCACCTTTATCAGAGCCTACAAATTTTCAGATGTTTTTTGTTTTCAGTTCGCGATTGATGGAAGGTTGCTGAATTGATTACTGGCCGAACATAGCCTCGGGCGGACTCGAACCCGTATTCATGTTTCCCTGCTTCTTGCGATCATACCTAGAATCTAACTGGACCTCTAAGTAATTGGCTTCATATGCCTAGCTGCTTTTACCAACGTGAAAAAAAAAGAAACTCCAGTGGTGGTGAAAAAGAAAAGGGGTCATCTTAGTGACTCAAAATTACTTAACTTCTTTTTTTGGAGGGACTCATTAAAGGATGACATTATTTTTTTTTTGAATCAACAAGTTGATCTGGTAAGGCAAGAGGTCACGTTCTTCAGTGACGACCACACAACGAACTACACTTTTCTTGCAAAGGACGCTCTCTGAGATGCTCGCAGGGATTTGTATGAAACATGAGTGGGCAATTCAAATTAAAAATCGATGATCGACTAGACTGCTTTTTACGAAGTGATTTTTGCAGAGCAGTGAAGTGATGCCGATCAAGCCGTGCGTAAAGCAAAACACAATAGCTGCAGCAAAAGTTAAGGAGTCTAGTGAAATGTACAGTAGAACAAACAACATCGCTTCAAATGAAAAATGAGCCCATTCGCGGCCGTACAGAAAACAGCTTGAAAATCCAACTTCCGATGGGTCCCTGAAAGCGTACGTCATTAACAACCATCTGAGTATACTTTTACCATTTCTGGTGTCATCGACTTCTGTCCTAAAGACATGACAAAAGGCTTCTGGGATCTCATTTCAGAAGGAACCCAAGACTCAAAAAGTATAGCAATATGTGAGCACAGTGGGAGAGCACAGTGGTGGCCATGCTGGTCTACTCGTCCTGCATAACGAAACTGTTTGCTAGGGAGGGAGCCCTTTTATCTCGACGACCCCACGCCTGGGTGATTGGACGCTAACAAAATAAAAATTCTCGTGAAATGCTGACCTATGGGTTGCACATGGGACACATCGAGAGGAAAAACGACTCAGATAGAGCGTAATATAACGGCTCTGAAAACGGCTTGGCCAGCGAACACACCCGAAAATGGTCGTTTCTTAGCAAATGATCTTGTCAAGACTGCACCATACGCAGTGTAGGACTTATGTAGATGAAGATTCAAACAACTATTATTGGCTTGTGGTAACAGCGGAAGACGACATTTTTGGCTTACTCTAGCCAACTGATGGCCGACTTAGTACTCCCTCCATGCCCCTTCTGTCCGATTCTATTGTCGATGAGGCTCGGTTATACGGTACACGTCGCGCTCGGCGCAGCACACTTCCACGCTTTTGGTGCAGCTAGAAATAACGAATCACAAATGCTTGCTGGCGGAGCTTACCTCAGAAAATTGCCAATCTGGCTGGTATCGTTTAGTTCCGTGTCGAGAAGTGCTTCAGCGAATGATCGGTCCCTAGAGTAGATTTAAACAGGGCCCTTTTGTTATTTACAATTTTTCTACAGTGTACGCAAAGGTTTTATAACGCAAGTTTGTGCGGAAGTGGTAGGTCTACGACCACTGCCGTGTCACCAATGTTTCATCTACTCCAAAGGGATGTTGATGATTCAATGGGCAAACTTTATCAAAAGAGACGTAACCTCAGAGAAACATGTTGCGCTATCGGATAAAAAATTCCCATTCAGGGGCATATTTGAATCGTGGAATTGCCCAGAGGCTGTTGAAATGAATTCTGCGCTTATTCTTCCTACACAAATCTGTGCCACTCCTAGTTGCCCCAAACGGGAGAATATGTAATTATCTGCGCTTATAGAGAACGATGCCTATGACGACTGTGTTACTTTTGGCCTTACGACGCTGGTTGTTTCGAAGAAAGCTAGCCTCGCCCATTCGCTTATTCATGTTATGGGTGGTGTTTGTCTCTATCTGACGCGTATTTGAAAAAGAGAGCATCAAAGAATCGGATACCTGATTGTGTAGTCCATATCGGCTGTGGAGTGATCGATGAACTCACGAAAAAGCGTATTTATCTGCTCACGTGCTTGAACAGTGGCTCCCATCTGAGTATGTGATATCAGGTTCATGTTTTCATTTGGCAGCTTTCATTACGGAATACCTTTGCTGTAGTCTGATCAAGCCCGCTCAGTCGAACCTGGGCGGAGGAGTTTCTCATGGACATCATGATTTCATCGTAACGACTGCGTAATGTCACCGGGAGATTGACGATGAAAGTTTGAAGGTGAGATGTGGGCTCGAGGCCACGGAAACCGCAGAGGTCATCCTGAAACAATTCACATCGTGAATTTACATATTTGCTCGAGTTCTAACCAGAGTTCTGGTAAGTAACAAACTCACTCGCTCTTTCTGTAAGAAATCGTTCATCTCTGCCATCCCAGTATCAGCCCGTCCATGTGGGGATCTGCCATGGATGTAGTGACCGTGGAGCGGATGTGTCAGAGCGAGCACACTGAATGGGAAGGAAGTCACTTCCATTTATCTTCAGTGCTTTGGTTCATTATTAGCCAAAATGTGAGCTGCAAACGCGATGTCCGCAACTGTTGGGTGTGTGTAGCCTTTTCCCAGCTCAAAAATCTATTATTATGCTGGACTGTGGCGCACGAATAACTTTCGTTTGGTGCACGCTGAAGAACGCGCCTGTTCTACACGCTTGACAGCCTCTTTTTGGAATGGTGTAAGGTTTGGAGCATTCACTTTACCTATGCAAAACCATGCCACTTTTCTCATTACCATATTCACTTTACCCAGCGCCAACCTTCCTCCTCTTCCTCCCCCCACCCCTCCCCACTCACCACACACACACTGAACAGTGTTTGAATGGTATTGCAGGATTGAGGTCAGTGACTCAACGGTACCTGATCCTCCTCACAAAGTAAACTTTTTTATAATTACTATATTCCATATATCACCAGTGAGTAGCCAAGTCTAAAGGGATTCCCGATTAGATCCAAAGTTCTGTATTCGTCCAACCTACCTTATGTTTGCAATCGAACATAAGTCAATGAAGTTATGGAAGGGATCAGTGATCATCCGCTCGACAACTGCCACCTGTAAAATTGGAGTTAACTTAGTGGGAGTCAACCTGAAGCCGCTGAGGCAGAAAGGTTGTTTATAGGGACAGGAACATACTTGTATAGCCCACTGCAAAAATCCGAAGGCAATATAGAAAAATACTACCACAGCAAACTTCGTCATTGTTGTTGATTCAGAGGAGAGCGAACCTAAAGCATTTGTTTCCGCAAGGTGTTGCAGGGTAAGACTAGTACCATCGAGAATCTGCGAACCTTCCTCAAAGCCAGGCTGAACGACACTGAAACGCATGAAGTCGAAGGCTTCAAGCAGCATAAGGACAACGAGCAACTGTAGACCGACCGATGTGGCGCGAACGCAACGCAACTCCGCCCATTCGTTCGCCACAAAGTATGTCCTCCTCCAAAGGAAACCCATTGGGGCAGATTTGATATTAGAAAAACTACAAGCATATCGAGATGTTTTCTCGATACAAAAACTAACCAGACAACCACTGGCATTTCTTTTCGGTCTTTAGAGACATCTCGAGAGATCGGTCGGGCTAACTGGCTGTTCTAAACAATGACACAGCAAAACTTCAGAGTATAAGATCACTGAGGAAGAAATGCCATCACCTCAATAATTTGTGGCCGTTCCCAGTCTATAAAGAATGTTTCCTGCAGGATCATATGTAGCAGGGTATGAATTAGTGCAATGAACTTCAGGCAGACTGTGACGACCAGGTATGTCATCAGGACCCACTCCTGTAACGGATTCGATGTATTTCAGAAATAGTTGCTCTCCATCAGAGTATGTTGTGGATTACTGTAGAGGAAAACTCTTCACTCCTGAGTAAGGAAAAACAACAGATAACATGTGGTCACGGTGTTTGTGCATGAAACCTTTACGACGAGTTCTTCTAAGTCATCGTCGTCACTAGAGAGTCAGTGCTACCAACCTGATCTTCATTGAGAATACTGTAGAAAGGATAGGTTTGCGATTTGTAGGCAAATGTTATCCAACAAGACATTGCGGTTAATACCACAAAAAATACGTCTCCTAACGCAGAGCATTCGTATAGAATGAATTGTAATACGGTAGTAGCATTAAGAAGCGACGCCTTGCCACTACGGCGACCCCAACTGAAAATTATTGGTTAAGTTTAAGAAAACTAAAATGGATATCGGATCTGGAGACACGCCCACGTCTTCAACAATCACAAAACCCACCTGTACGCTTTCATAGCAGCCCATAGAACAGACAGCGGACATAACACTGCCATTGTGATCTCTAATTCCTGAAATTGCCAATACATGTATGTATGAAAGTTACGAAAACTTGAACCGTTTTCGATGGCCATATCTTCAAAATGTAAGGTGATACGATACCGGAATAGTCGCAAAGGCGCCGCTACCACAGGTGTGTTCCGAGGTTCAAATTCAGGATGCCTTTATGTTCCGGTGTCGGAAATAGGTATCAAAGTTTGCATGGGAGGTCGAATTTACTTGGTTCTATACCAGCATGGGTATGCTTTATCGAGTTCACTATGTTCGTACCAGTCGTATCGCCCGGCTAACGCCAGACTCTCCTCCTTCTTGGGTCAAACACCCTATCTCGAGAAATGTTTGACTGAAGAATTTTTTCCCCTTTTTCAAAGTTTATAGATTTTAAGTTTTTTTCCTGCTGTTTACCTGAGTGAGAGTATAAAATTGAAACAGAGCTCGAAATAGATTATGTCGTCGTAGCGTATCACATAGTCAGTTCGCCCGGCTAACGCTGAGCTTCCCTTCTTTTTGACAGAGTTGTAGCAAGTCGGATAACTCTTCACTCCTTTTTTGAAACAGATAATATGTAGTTTCCTGTACATGAAATTCGACACAGGACTAACAGGGCAGCGCAAATGGTGTACAGTGAAAGTCGGTGCATACGCCTTTAATTGGAATCCCCGATCTCTTGCTCCCTTCATTGAAAAGAAATACCCATTAAAAATCCAATTGTTAGACAACCAAAGATGATGCTGTGGAGATGTTCTGAGCGATGACAGCACCATTATCAGATGTCCTTTATCAGTGGACCCTTTTCTTCACGGAGATATCATTAGTTGAGAATTCCAGATTACGGGCGGTCTATTAAGTTTTGCCGCAAATGATATCGAGCGAAGAGGATCCTTCATTGAATCACAAACCTTGTTGGGTAGCGGTCGTAATTGCCCTAATGGGTCCCTATCACTGCACTCATCACTCACTTTTGCCACCCACCCTACTCTACCATCTCGTCCTATCGAATGAAACACGTTGAACGGTCAAAGCTACATCGTAGAAACTGAAGACGTTAGGATTTTGATCGGTAGGTGGCTTCTCCTAGGTCCCTTAGGTCCCGTATCTTCTCTTATCAGTTATGATCAGTCCTTGTCACCGATGACCTACGATACCGTCATATCCTACATCAATTACTAATATGCTGAGGTCCCATTCTTAGTACGAAAAGTGTAACCCTACCGAGTTTCAACGCTCTAGGTTCACGTAAACAGGAGTCATGAAATTGCGGCCCAAAACTTCTATCGCGCACGCCCCGCTCCCTGTGCATATAGTCCGGTCCTGCCACCCACCGTAAGTATTACAACCTGCCCTCCGTATCCTTATCAAGTTTGAAAGCTCTAGGTCCACGGGGTTCGGAGTTATGAATTTGCGGTCAGACACACACACCGACACACACATACACAAACAAACACACACACACACAACACACCGACACACCAACAGACACACTTATCTCTCTCATTTATAAAGCAGAAACTTGGTGTGTCGGGTTGTCGGTTTGTGTGTTTGTCGATATGTCGGTTTGTCGGTATGTCGGTATGTCGGTGTGTCCGTCCGCAAACGTTCATGATTACGATAAAGGTATGATAGGTAGT